ATAAGTTTTTACCACATCAATAGGCGTACCTAGCTAGCCACAGAAAATATAACTGTAACCACTTATCAATCCCCTAACTATACCCAGATGTAGATGCAAGTTCCATTGCGATGTGAAAAAAAAACAAAGAAATAAAGGATTGTACCTTTGCCCGTCTTTTCTGAGAATAAAACCGATATGATTTATGTGGATGTTGTTTAATACTCCCACGTCTCTGTACCAATATTGATTTGAAAAATTCTTCTAAGAAAAGACGTTTCCTTTGATAACAGACATGCACAGAGGCCTTAGTACGAGTTTGATTTACGTTTAAATATTCGAAACGAGTACGCGTTTGACAATCTGATTGGCCGGCCCCAATGAACCAACCAATCAGAGCGCCGAATGCGTACTCGTTACGAAAACTTTAAGCGTAAAACAAACTCGTACTAAGGCCTCAGTACCCATTGAAACAACTTGTATTATGTAGTACTGCAGACGTCCTATAGGGTAGGCGACAAAGGACAAAGAAAATATCTCATAAGTAACGTTTGCTAGCTATACTTAAAGGAAGGAAAATAAACTTTTTAAACCATTTAGAAGTAGGTATTTACGTCAGAGAATTTTTATGGTAGGTACTTACTGACGGTATTAATTACTAGGTACCTTTTTATAATTAGGTTAGCTTACTTAGTGTAGGTATCCTTTTTTGAAAACTAGCTTTACTTCAGTCATTCACCTCCTTATACAGGATACCAGTAAAGAAAAATGTCTGATTAATTCGGTTTCACCCGTGCCCTCTCTACGTCTGACGACTGACGTTTTATCCTTCTTCAACGAATGAATCTATTAGGTTACCTACACAAATATTTTTCAGTTCGCACTGACCAGTTCTATTGATTCGTGCATTGTTTATAATGGCAGTAAACAAATAAACTTTCAAATATCAAGTCTAAGTTTGGGTGAATACCTAGATTAAAAATATTATTATCACTTAAGACTTGTGTTAATAAATAAATTCTTCTCAGAGTGAGAGGCCTTTTTGCAGGCTGATGATGACGATTGAAGTAAATTCCTGCTTACGTTATAGGTAGCATATTTTATAACGTAGCCAACGAGGTCATCGTGATCTCATTTAAAAGGAATTACAAAATAAATTCTACAAAAAGTTTCAATTCCTAGAGTTTTTCAAACTCTTTACTATTATTATCTAAAATACCTACCTCGCTGTTTTCAGTACGAATGTGTAAATTAAATTAATTATAAGTTATGTAAACAAGTTGACAAAACATTACCTTGGCCGTACGTTACCTAATTATGTTTAGTTAGCCTATTATTTGGAACTATTGTTGTAATTAGGAGGCACCTACTTATTTGTAAACAAAAGTAGGAAACTGCTTGCTAAACAAACTTGGTATTATATTATCAATGAACTTGTTTAATATTTTTTGTTCTGCGTTATTCCGGACCATAATCTACCCCTGTTCGAAATTCCATCTCGGTCCGTTCAGTCATTTCGGCGTGAATGAGTAACATAGGTATGTAGGTACAAACACATAATCTTTCCCATTTATAATGTTATTAAGAAGTACGACTAGTAAGATTCCATAAGTTCTAAATTATATTGATTTGTCCCTCTCCACACACCTCGTAGGATTTTTTTTTAAGAGGGGAAATTCATCTATATACTGCTCCCGCCTAGGTTAGGCGGGAGGGAGTGTTAGACTCTTACTGACTAAAAACCACCCCGTTCCTTCTCCTGCACGTCGAGCCGGAGTCCCGGTAACCCGTTAGGACCTCGACTTCGACCTCGTATGATAGGTTAACAACATATATACGAAGTTTAGTTTTAAAATAGTGAAGTAGCATCCGTTGACTGTTAAAGAAGGGTTGGTTAAAGGGATGGACAACACAATTGACACATTGAATTATAGCCATGATAGGACCCACGACATACTTAGGTAGCTATGCAGATACCTAGGTAAGTATCTAGGTACCTACTTATATCTATAAAAAAAACTTGCCCCACACTAGGATTTTCTCCTCTGGTGAATTTGTTTTTCAAACTAATGTGTGTAGGTAGGGAGATTGACATGCAGATTTCAACGTGCGGGAATTGAACCTATGACAGGTTGCAAAGAAGCCGTTAGCTTCTGCGCCAACCGTGTACTTAGAGGTAGTTAAGAAGTCCTATTTTATTGATTACAAACGCATTACTTCTAACTGCATCTCGTAAATTACGCTGTACTCGTCATTAGGTACTACATAGATACCTATCACAGATTCCTACCATACCATTGCATAATAAAGAAAATATTATGAAGTATGACTGCAAGTAGGTACGCTTACTTACGTAGAGAGGTCGATTATTTCTTAGATAAGAATTAAAGGAAAATGAAGATGGCCTATTCGCGTCCATCCACCAGTTTGTGTCTTTTTTACTGTTCGCCATAAATGTTATATACTGAAAATCTAAGATATTAACTACTACTATTATGGTGGTAGTTTTTTTTTATTTTATTCGAGAATTTTTAAAGGACGTTCCGTAACATGGACGCTAACAGGCGACTTACCCTACGTAGGTAGATAAGTACTTAGGATAGGTAAGTAGTAATTTATTATTAGGTACCTACGTTTATAGAGATGCTATTATCTCTACAAAAGGCAGGTACTTATTTGGAACAATCTACTGAATACCTCTTTGGCCAAACAAAAGACGATGAGATTCACGAGATTATGCTTGCACACGTGTCAATTTGTAGATACATCGCGTGACGATTGAATTTATCGAAGCTATCTTATCATCGGTAATATCTTTATTAACTTCAAAATGAATGGAAACTACATGATACAGTCTGATTGACACGAGTGTCTTCTCTGAGGCTTCCGTAGGCAATACAATAGATTTTTTTTAAATAATATTACAGAGTAATTCTCCACGGACTCTAGGTCCGTGCCCTTGTCATACAATTCGACAATAGCACTTAGATACTTACCTACTCTATAGATGCTAGATATAGGAAGTCTTAAGTAGGCACCCTTGGAGTTAGTATTTAGGTAGTTACAGGCCAGATATGGTAACAGACAAGCAAAATTGAATAGTTTTTGCTAAACATTAGGCAAAGTTCTAGGCTTCTAACGTTCTAGGATAGCAAGATCATAAATGCTCAGATATCTAGGTAAATTTTGTTGTTCACATTGATATAAGATGCTAATGCAGTCAGTATCTGGCTATTAAGTGTATATACCTACTTAAGTAGATGGGTAGTGCGTAAAGGATAGTCTGTAACAGCTATCAAACATCATAGGTACACATGTAAAAATATACTAAAAAGAAAGTAAGTAGGTAGGTAGGATTAGTTCACACTTCTGTACCTATCTACCTAATATTTTTGTAGGTAAATTTTCACACGTAGATACGTACGCAAAAGAAAGATCACGGTATCTTTTGAAACGATCTGAGCAGAAGGTAGGTAAGTAGGTATCTTACAAAACAATCAATGAAGATTGATACCCCTTATCATGTTTACTCATACTTTTATCAATCTGTGACTAAAGTAGAGGCATTTTCGTATTTAAATATGGATATCATATCAACCAGAAGATACAGATAAACGTAATGGTACGCCTATATTGCTCTGTAGTAAAAAGTTGCGAACGCACTCCGTAGACCTATAGTTGGGCTTGGGAGCATAGAAAGGGCGCCACAAACGTTTTTTCTTTGTCATTTCTTGATAAATATTTTCTGATACTAGTATATTATTAATTCGTAACGTATGTCGTATAAAAGGCAATTTAATTACCTTTAAAATGAAAGCATTTTGTTGTAAAAGGTATAACTTTTATTTAGTTAAAGAGGGTTCGATACAATGGAAAACGCTAGTGGCTTCGTTTCCTTGGTCTCAAGTGTATTTCCTTCGATATTACCTGCCATCGTGGTCGTAGGTATTTACCATTATCTAACACTAGACTAACTACGTAGCAGCAGTTGTACTATGCTCACATAGCAGCAGTTATGTTACCGTGATGTTACCTACGCGGAGCCCTTACCTGAACAAGATAGAAAATTGAAAAAATCTTTTTTTAAACTGGTCCATATTGATTATTGTCTTAGGGGTTGGCCGAGTGGTCGCAAGTGGGACTGCCGGGCATGGAGTCTTGGGTTCGATTCCCGGGACGGGCAAAATATTACTTGGTTTTTAAAAAAACATGTCAGTGGTAGCACGGAGTTTAGAATTGTACCCGGTATATGGCAATAGGCTCACCCTATATTACGTGGGACTCACATAAATAGTAAAAAGTGGGTGTTACATTGTACAATGGCAATAAGTGCCGTAATGTGCACCTCTGCCTACCCCTCCGGGGATAAAAAGCGTGATGATTAGGGGTATGATATAGATGGTCGTAGTATTCCTTCATTTATCGCCTTCCTTCAGGCCTTTTCCCCACAATTTCTGTCGTCAACATTCGTATCCAGATTCGATTGAATGCCATCCACCTCATTTATATGTTGGAGCGTCATTACGCGAAAGTGTCACTTGTGAGCTTCTCTCGGACCCGCGCATTCTTCAGGTTCAGATATGGACGCACTAGGAAAATTATCATTATAATGCTATTGAAATTAATAACAAATTGTATATTCTTTACAGACCAACACCCAGACAAAGGCGAAAAACAAGAGTTTGCTCATATCATGGAAGGAGATCCCGCGCAAACTTCTACCGAAGTCTATATACTGCCCCAGTGGAAGTACTAAAGAATTTCCCAGTAAATCATGAATAATATTGACGTTAAACATTACTTTTGTAAGACTATTTACCCAATATGACTGTGATGGCAGTAAAGAAAACATATCTTGTGATTTTTATGACTGTTCCTACAATTTCTATTTGAAACATTTCGAAATAAATAATATTAAAACAGAAACTATGGTTATTATTTCATGCTTATGTTATATTCATTTACATATTCACATTATGTACATTAAATAAATATCGCATAATTTAATTTACAAATTGGATCTATTGACAATCTTCCACAACGAGGAAGTTCATGTCTCGTACATGAGTTGCCCATTGAACTTTCCGTTTCTTTATATCAAGTTTTAAATTTCGTTTCTTGTATTCTAAGGCTGTATGGACAAGGGATCTATTAAACTTATGGACATGTGGATGGTTAGTGTACTCTTCTACTTTCATCCATTTACAGAGATTCACTTCTCTTTGGGATGGTGTTATTTTATCTGTGAGAGCTTTCATCATGAGAATAACGTAAATATCAGAGTTCTCGAACATCATGTTATGCGTGTGACGGAAAGTAACGAGAGATTCAAATCTGGCGTCAACTCCTGTTTCTTCTTTCACCTCTCTCACGGCGGCGTCTATTATATCTTCACCTGTAATGAGAAAAACAAACAATTAATTTAATTAAGTTAACCAGCCAGTATCTGTTTAATAACTTACTCATGTTAGCCTTGTCGTTAATGTGACGTGTCGGTGGCTGAGACAATATTATTGACTGGTGGAGATTGTCGAAAGTTCTCAGTAATACATCATGTAGGCTCACCCTTATTAAATACTAGCTTTTACCCGCGGCTTCGCTCGCGTCACAAAGAAATAAATAGCCTAAGTGCCTTATACCAATACACACAGCGCCATCTATACCAATACTTTTGTTTTTCTCGGGAATATCAATTTTTTCCGGGTTAAAAAGTACCCTATTATTTAATCCGGACTTCTAATTTTACGTCTGCAAAAATTCAAAGCAATCGGTTGAGTAGTTACGGCGTGAAGGTGGAACAAACAAACTCACTTTCAGATTTATAATATTAGTAAGGAAGTAATGATTGCTCATAACTACATTACAGAGATATTAGCAGAGATAGGTGCATAGAATACAATGTTTAGCAAAGGCTTTTGTTGTACTGAGAATCTTTGCAAATATGGATATGTCAAACAATACACATATGAATTAGGCTTATCATCAAAATATTTACCTTTTTCAACATAACCTCCGGGAAGTTTCCAATGAGGATACTCATAGTGCTTCTCTGATACAGCCAACAGATGACCTGTGTCATTAAACACCATGGCGCCCACACCGAGGTTTGTATGGCAAGACGGAGGAAGATTCGGCATCGAGTCTCCAGGCAGCCATTTGTACATCATCACAAAGTCATCTCTTGCATGATGGAAATTAAATCCTTTCTAAGAACAGCAAGCCTTAATTAAAAACATAAATCAATTGTGGAGAATTTCAAACTACTTTTATAAACTTTTTAGAACTATTAGCTGTATAGAAAACTTACTTGTGCTAGTATGGGGACACAGAATGCATCTTTGATGTTCACCTTAAACCATACACATCTGCACCCTTGTAATGCCCATTTTGATAACGAATCTGAAACATAGTTATCAAACATTTTCAAGTCTACTGTTAATGTAAGTTAATGAACTTTTTATCAGTTTAAAACAGACTTTGTTTACAAACGAAAGTTGATTTGCGTATTTTACGATATTTACTACTTATAGGTAAATTCAAAAGTCAAGTAGATAGAACAAATTTCGTTTGTAAAATAATGATTTTACTTTTATAATATTATACGTAAATAGCAATTTCCAATTAACAATAATTGCATGAGAAGATGAAATTGTATTATATACATAATCATGCTCGTTTTTCTTACTTTCATTAATTAAAGGTTAATATTTAACATATTACAAAACATATTACATATTATAACATAACATTACAGTTTGAAAGTATTAGTATTAACACACATTTTATGACTCACAGTTGTATTTCTGGATGACAATTATAGATTGGCAAATGCAACGCCTAATTTTGTAATCATTAGATCAAAGTCCACTTAATAATAATTTCCTATCACATGCCATAAACAACTTTGAGCAAGACTCAATTGTAAATGTTATAGTATTATTGTATTTTAACCTGTATATCCCCAAGGGGTCACCGGTGACCGCTCTCCACTTACTATATTATAGACCTTATTTCCAATGTTTAGAGACTACTTCTGTATGAACAAATTTAGGGGATGATTTGGAAAATGGTAATGGAAAATTTTCAACAGGTTAATATGGGCCTTCATTGTCTAATACAAATAAAATAATACTCATTAAACTGTCAAACACCAAGCGGTCACCGGTGACCGCAACCTATTGTTCTTTAATTGTGTCTATAAATACGGTACTCGACGAGTTAATCAATATTTTATTCAGGCAAATATCAAAACTATACTTAGTTCAAAATATATATGCAAGTACCTACTAAATAATATAAATACATGAACACTGAACTATCGGAAAAGATAGTTCAGTTGTTATCTTCTTATCAACATGCTTAGAGTAAATAAATAACTCGTGGACAATGTAGAATTAGATATAAAAATGTTTGTTAATATCTACTTAAATTCTGCTCTTTGCAATTAACAAAAATTATTCTATTTATTTTACTATTGGGACTATAAGTATGTATAGTACCATATACCAATTTTTTTACATATAGTATGCAGCATGTTCAATAGACACAATTATGCAGGGCACAATTCAAGACATTGTATTAACTAGTTAGTTTTCTATTCAAATCATTAATAATATTTAAAATGAATTATTTCTACTTACCATCCAGATTTTCATTGAACTTTTTCTCATTAAACATTTCTTTAGTGGAGTCAATTGTGATGCCATTGTATCTATCTTTAGCCCCATTGAATATTTTATTAGATGCTTCTGTGGAGTATGCACATACAGGAACCTTTCTAAAATCAGAAACACTTAAATTATATTCAGTAACATTATTGCACACGATCCAGAGTGAGTTTATCAATATTTGTGTTTAATAAATAAACATGATATAATAAGTAAATAACGAACAGACGTAAGATTTAAATAATTTTGTAAAGCTTAGCATAACATTATAATGTTTAAGCTACTTACCCTAAGAATAGAGTTTTTTGGTTGAGACGTAAACCAAATAATAGTAATTTATTCATTATTGCTTTATTAGCATTATCAAATAGAAGATAGAACGTAGAAAAACAAATTCACAAGTCTGTAAAAAATCAAGTTTCACTTTGTCGTTCTCATTGAAAAATGACGTTTGACAAGTTAACAATAAATAAAAAATGTGCGCCAATGTCAAAGACTAAAGTCCCTAAGCTGCGTTCATTCAACCAGGCTGAATATTAATTTTAGGTTCTGACGGCTACTGAGACGTGACACTATATCTATAATTTTGATGATTGGAAATTGATATTTTAATAACAATTGTTGGTAATTCTATAATAAATTACCAACTATTGCGGAAATACGAATATTTACATGGATTTTGGAATTGCTTAACACTGATCGCTACTAAGTATTGAAAGTCACTGTCACTGTCAATGTGGCCACTATTGTCATCTGATGACATATTTTCCATTTTATCATTGCGTTATCAATTCGAATTCAATTTGGTTGGTTTTTGCAACGAAGTTAAATACCTAATTGTTCTGAAGAATATCTAACAAAGTTCAAGCCAGAATTGTGCATAACTAATGCAACACAATTGTATGATAGTTATAATAACTTGAATCAAAATGGAATCTAAAACTTTTGAAGGTGTTACAGATAGGTACAATGGTATTACAGTAGATTCTCAGGAAGAACCTTGTGAAGTAGATCAACTCTTAAATCAGCTGAATGGTAATTATGATGCAAATTCAAAAGATCTTATCTATTGTTAGAAATTGTATTTCCGACTGAAGTTGTATACATACCATAAGAGTAACAGAAATGATGAACTCTTCGTTTTTTTCTTTCAGAATCGATAAGAGTGTGGACTGAATCGAACAAACGCTGTATATGGTTCAAAGTTAACATCAAAGACGCAGCTTGGGTACCAGTGTTAGCTAATGTAATTTTGTTCATTTTTTTTCTCCATAGTTTTTTTTTTGTTTCACTCTGTATTTAATTTTGGTTTTTTATACAGGAAGGCTTCAACTTCCATCATGCCCGTGATGATTTTGTCATGATGTACAAATGGCTTCCTAACACTCCATCCAACTTACCTCCAGCTTGCCATACAAATCTTGGTGTTGGTGGAATGGTATTCAATGATAAAAATGAAATATTAGTAGTTGCTGAGAACTACATTGAATTCCCACATTGGAAACTTCCTGGAGGATATGTGGAAAGAGGTAAAATCAAGCCTAACACTATTATCAGTTCCTTTTTAAATAAGCAGTAGTTCATTTTTTGTATACTTACAGGAGAAGACATAAAAGATGCAGCCATAAGAGAAGTTAAGGAAGAAACAGGAATTGATGCAACTTTTGAATCTATGGTTACACTGAGACATACCCACAACACTATGTTTGGAAACTCTGATATCTATGTGATCATCTTGTTGAAAGCCACATCAGAAACAATCACAAAAGCCGACAATGAAATCAAGGCATGCAAGTGGATGCCCATTGAAGAATATATGAACCACCCAGATGTTTTAGAGTTCAACAGATTTATTGCTAGACAAGCTCTGGACCTGAAGACTAGGAACTTAAAACTGCAGCTTCGTAAAGAAATGCTTAGAATTAAAAATTTAACCAGGGAAATGACAGCAGTGGTAATAGAAGATCTTGATAAATAACTGGCAGCAGTGTTCAGGGTCATATGATAATAGCAAAGTTGTACAGAGATAACTTATATCTTAATATGAAATGATAACAATAAGTTGCTAATTTATACATGTTGCATTCAACTTCCGTCTACTACAGTTTAATATAGCTTTACCATAATTATTGCTGTGATTAATTGCTTAGCAAATATTTGTCCATGGGATATGCACATGTTTTTTATTATACAGTATAAATGCAGTACAGTGTTGAAATGTGATAATAGTAAAATGTAGGGTTATTTTGAATAAATAATAAAATCTTGATTAAAATCATTACCATGTATTTATGATTATTTTGTTACATAATTCAGTTTTACAATTATTCAGTTGACAATGGATTTCATAAGACAAGAAATTCCATTTATGTACAACATTGTTCATCCTGCAATCTTATAAATTGTAAACTGAATTACCTAGCTACTATATTAAAAATGTACCTATAATGATTTTATGACTATAAATTTGTTACAAATAAATTATATGTTAAACAATTTTTACAAGTAATCTTTCCACCTAATATAATTATAACCTTTAACAAATGTTTTAAATGACAAAGCAGAAGCAAAGTATATTTACATAGCAAGTTCAACAAATTGACCTCTTACATCATTTTTGTTTCTAAAACTGTTGCTCAGTGTTGATTGTGTCGCTAGTACGCAACTTTTTATAATAAGTTCTAAAATCACAATGTGAGTTTTATGCACAAACATCAAGGACTGAGTGAATGTGTTAACAATGAGCAAGTTGTGAATGGCATGGAACTAATTTTAAATCATGTGCATGCCATGCTTGCTTTAGATCAGGGCTGTCCAAACTATATACCCTCGCGGGCTAATTACATTTCTTACAAAAGCTGGAGGGCCGGAAAAATGACTACACGTTGACGTGACGTTTAACGTAGTATTCTTTACTCACAGATGAAACTTGTATACATTTATTTTTTATTTTTGTTGTTGTACATAAAATGAAGATGTTGAGATTAAAATGTGTGTCACGGGCCACATGAAAACAAGCCGCGGGCCACATGCGGCCCGCGGGCCTTTGTTTGGACAGCCCTGCTTTAGATCGTGGCAGTTGCTGTTTGAATGAGGTCCACATCTAGTCTTTAATATTATCTTTTATCTGTTGCCTTACTAAAACCTAATTTAATAAATATTAAGGACAATCCTAAATTTGTCACATTCCCAGACTGCTTACAACATCAACTTATAAAAATAGTAATATAATAACAGAACACCAATCAAAGGACAAAATAACATGAAGACCATGATAATAGCACTTGAACAATCTAACAATAACTTGAGGTAAACCACAATCTAATAAGCTATCAAGTACTAGAACTTGATGCATGTGGTGTAAATATGACCCTGTCAAGGTTGAGAAATGCAATCAAAACATTGAGCAGCATAAAAAGTTATAGGTAGGTTACAAGACCACAATTTTATGTTGTAACAATAAACATGGATTTGACTCATATGGAATGTTAGTAATCGTGCCATAAGGACGATATTATATTGATGCCAACTGTGAAGTAGTCTTCACACTGTATGATCAGATAGTTGAAAGAAAAAGGACATAGAGAATCATAAGAGTTGGCACTATGGCTATTACTTCTCCATAGAACAAGCCTTAGGCTTATGCAATATGTATTGTCTTATCAAGGTCTTCATTTTATTTTGTTAGCATGTATTATTTATTATTTGTTATGTACTATAATAATTGGCGCCAGACATTAGGACTCACAATAAAATAATAAATGTTTAATTAAGTGATTTCTTTCATGGATTTAATCCAGGTCAGGGGCGGCAGCATTTCTTCCTACATAATCTCCATCATCATCGGAACTATCAGCTTCACCTATTATTGACTTCAAAAGTCCTCCAAATACTGATCCACCATGTTTGTTGTCGGGCGGTATTTCTATGCCAAACCAAATGCGCCCAATGTTGTCTAAATACACTGAGTAGTTAGGATCTCTTTTAATACTTATTGCATACCAATTTCTTAAAATTTTAAACTGATTAGAATGTTTTCTGAAACAGAAAATTAGTATGAGATTCTAATAAGAATCTGTAATAATTAAAGGTATAATATGAAATGAAATATTCTATACTTACTGTTCAATAGCACGTAACAGAAACCACAAAAAATTTAGTAATGGAAATATATAAGGAGGCCCTTTATTGTTATTTATTGTAGGGTGTAGGCCTGTGTATTCATTAAATGTATCTGTGGCCATTTGTATGTTGCGCAGACAAAGAATTTGCAATACTGGCTGTGCTATGAACAAATCTATTTCAGATTTTAATCCTTTTGTCGTGTGAAGTTCGACAAGCATATTGGCATATGCAGCTCCGTCACAAGAATGCAAGAAGTGTCTATGAGCAGCTGCATATTTCTTTTCCTTCCAATACACTTCAGCGATTCTCTAAAACAAGATAAAAATAACTTGTAATCTAAAGTAGCATGAAGACAGATTAGAAGTAGAAAGTAAACAAAGTGAATGTCAAATTGCAGTGCAATGAAACGGATTCTTATAAGACTGCTTCTTGTGTTTACATAACAATATACTCATCCCAATTAGAATCAAGTACCTGATGAAGTAGTGGATGTCCTTTTTTGTTATTATCCATAGACCATTTGACAGCATTAGTGAGGTAGGATTCCCTTTCGGGTATACTAGCACTCATTAATTCAAATAACTTAGCTAGTTTCTCAATCCATTCGTGACATGGTTTCGTTTCTGATTTATTCAACACATCTATGAGTAATATTGCCAAATCTGCTCCACTCTCTTGCTGATCACGTTGTAGCAACAACGTCGAACCTTTGTACAATAGATTTAATAGGTCTTCATACTTTTTTTGACTAAGATATCTGTAAAAATCACAACATTTTAATAAACACTCTCGTTATTAGGTTCCTGAACAACTTGAAGCGTAAATACATGACTTGTACCTGAAATAAAGAGTTCTATACATTTGATGTGCCTCATAGTAATGGCCAGAGTTTACAGACGCTTCTAACTTATCAAGTACTCTTGAAACTCCTCTGTCTCCTCGTGCAGCCATCATTTAATTTCTAGAACAATCTGTTTTTCTTCTATTTCTATTCACAAAACCAATTTACGCCATGTCCATGAATTGTCGGATTTTCTTAAAAGTATTTTTTCGTTACTTTGACACACTGTCTATTTAGACAACACACCTCCTTGAGCCATTGCATTAATAACTTTAGACGTAAAGCGGTCCATACACACCATTAATTTTAGTCGATTTTAAATATAATTCTTAAGACTTTATTTTACCTTGAAAAACAAATTTTCATTGATAATTTTGAAGAAGTATATTACCAATTTTGTTTGTTTCAATGTAATGTATGCTTTGCGCAGAAAAATATACATGCCTTGCACGGATAAATTGTATTAGTTTTACGCATACATTATTTACCTTTACTCTTTGATTTTAAATTAGTAAGTGATCCTCATTGTTGACAATTTCGATTATTTGTTAACAACCAGTAACCCTAAATAGCGAGAATGTATAACTTTATGCAAATATACCGCTATGTGGCTCCATTGTCAAAAGCCAAGGATATTTTTTTTTATACAAAACGTGGTAGGTACTGGGGTTCGGTACAACCATTCCAGGATAACACAAAGAGGTTTTCCGTACGGGACTCGTGAGGAATTGCTCAGCAATCATTTGCCCAGACGCAGAGCTAACTATGCAGTTACCTATTTTGCAGTAGGTTTATATATAATTATATAATTCAAAGGTGACCGACTGATTGACTGGCTGACTTAATGATCTATCCACGCACAGTCCAAACCACTTGACGAATAGGGCTGTAATTTGGAAAGCAGGTAGATGTTATGACGTAGGCATTCCGCTAAGAAAGGATTTTAGTCATGTCCCCTCAAGGGGGTTAAAATAGAAAATGAAAGTTTGTCAGTTTTAAACCGATCGGGCTGAGATTTTGCATGCATAAAGCTACAATGACATAGATATCTCATAAGAAAGGATTTTGATAAATTAGACCCATAAGGGGATAAAATAGGGGATGAGAGTTTGTATAAATCTTCTTAGCCATTGAATCTAGAATCATTGAATCTTTATGAGTTGCATTCGGTAAAACGATAATGATAGTTTTTATCACAGAAGTCCCATGGGAACCGGAACTATGCGTCAAAGCCCCGAGAGTCTCTATCTCTTAACCACTAAACTTATTAGAGATTTGGTAGGTACAACAATAGTCTATAGAATAGTTTTTATTAGGTACCCAAACCTTACGGGAACGGGCACTGTAGGTACCTACTGGTAAAATCCCTTCGGGATTATTGATTTTTTTAAATTACGATAAATTTATTTACTATAAATCTCACAAGTCATTATTCTACGCGGACGAAGACGCGGGCAATAGCTAGTTTGTATATAAAAGGTGAATTTGTATTTGACGTGGCAATCCAAGGCCTTTTGTTCAGCAGTGGATGTTTGTTTGGTTGGTTTCGATATCTATATCGTGGTGGCCCAGAAGTTCAAGACGCCCGCTTCTCATGCATGAGGGAACCTGCCGTTGGTCGGTCTCGAACACGTATCTAGGTACTTACCAATGTGAGTTTTTCCAAATTATATACTTTCCAAGATTATTTAGACACAACTGACAAACGGTAAAGGAAAACATCGTGAGGAAACCTGACCTGGACTTATGATTTCTAGTTTAAAGTTTGAAATCGCCAACCCGCATTCAGCAAGCGAGGTGATTAATGTTCACACCTTCACCATATATGAAGAGGTCTTTGGTCAGCAGTGGCCCTTTATAGGTTGTTGATGAAGTGTTGTCTAGAGATCGCATTTAAGGATGACAAGGCCTACAATCAAACCTACCTATATATTTTGAAGATTAAAGCATTTATTTGCTGTAATCGTGGTGCTTATGGCTCTAAGCGTAACATCATGGAATCACCAGTTATAGGTACTTAATATCGAACACTAGTTACTTCTGTGAGGGTTCACTCGCTGCTCGACTCTATTGTAGGTATATAGCGTTATGATCTATTGCGACTATGACTATTCAACATAGCTAAACAATTTTTTTTTTCAATTAGTATCAATACTTCCGGAAATTAGATCGTAATATTAAATTAGATCGTAATATTTGAAATATTAATTATTTTTAGTTTTTTTTTGGTTACATTTTTTTAAGATCGGTTATCTTTCTGCGTAGATGATAGGAGTAAAAATTGTGATAAAGTTTTGTTACATGAACATCGTCAATAAAACAATAAAATAACACAGCTAAGGAATCACTTGCGATATTTGGTACGATAGGGAACTATCGCAGCTATGTAGAATCAGTAACATTTGTTCGCAGTGGTAAATCTTGGTAAATAATACATTGGTCGAGGATTTACGTAGGTGAAAAGAAAAGACATGGCTCTGGGGCGATCCCCCTAAGGAGCCATTTATTTTATTCATGGATGAGCATTTGGTAGACATACCAACGTACGTGAGAAGCTGTCTAAAATACTACCTACCCTTGGTGGATAATTAAATACCTAGAACATTATATTTGAACATAGTTTAGTACTAATTTTGGTACAGACACATCCAAACGTTTAAGTGCCAGCAAACTTACGATATTCTACAGATTCCGTTCAAGTAGCTTCGGTTATCTACTAAATAGAAATTGCAAAGATGGACGACCTGTGGAACGATTGATGTTGCTAGATAGTTTGTGAAAAAGAGTTATATTACACTTGTCTACCGCAATGCGGCAATGGACTATCTTTTTTCTTTGCCAATACCGCAATCCAAGTGAGATAAATTATATTATTGTATTGAAGAATAAATTCACGCATTACATAGCCTTGCCGTCGAAAATTACTAGGGTTGGCTTCTAAAATAAACATATATAGTATTGTAGTTTCTAATACAGACTTATCTTGTGTGGTTATGTTTAGGACATTTTCGGTGTTTATGTATCTAACAAAACTATCAATGCCGGTCGTCGAATGAATTAGTTAAATAAAGTTTCTTTCTGCTCCTGGAATTAATATCAAGAGTTCATCAGGAGGTTTTGTTTCGCTCGAAGAATGGGTTTCAGCCAAGTCTAAATAAAATTTACATTGACCTGTAGTCAAATATGGAAATCTCAGAAAATTAATTCTTAGATACCATTTACAATCATACTCGTGTCCAATATAATATCCTCACTATATGTGGGTAGGTATCCAAACAAAAAAAATATTTCGAGGGTATAGTTATTCTCCGAGGAATTCTCGTTAACTTAATTATAAACTCTTATAGGTGAAGGGCGCTTGTCGATAGTGTTATTAATGATCAAGTATTAACTAATAGTGATGGATAAGTAACAAGATCGGAAACTTTGTTAAACCATTAAGTAGTGATACAAGGAACATTTATCTTCAAGATTAACTGATGTTGGTTTCGTTCAATACATCAACATCAACAGCTCATGCTGTCTATGTCATTGGACTACTACACTATGGGCCTCGTCTACATAAGAGGGTTTACTACGATCTCCACGCTTGGCAGGTAAGGTTGGACATGGTAGTTTAAACGTTTCTGGTTTATCGGATCTGATATGTGCTTATCAGACAACGTTGCTTTTACCACACCCACGGGAAGAGTGATGCAGACAATTAAATTAGGTAGGTACCCTACGTCCACTATCTAAAAACAGTTCTTGAAATACAGACAAATAAGTAGAATTTTCCATTAAATCAAAATTAATCTAGTCATTACAAGATGACTGGGTAAATTCGTGGAGCCCTCTGTGGTTTCTGCAAAATCCCATGAGACAAAGGCGTGAGTTACCTAAATGTGTACCTACCTATACATTATAATGTATGAATGTACAAGGGTAGGTAAGGACGCCTTTCCATTTATCTTTCGGTACGAACATATCGAAGAATTTCCTCAATACGGTGAGTCCCGTATTTTCAATTTCAACACCCTTTCCGACTTCTGATCTTATTGTTTGTTCTTTCACCTATCAAACCTTTGTTGTTTAATTAAGTTTCAGTTTAAATTCGACTTTCATCATACCTAATATTTGGTTAACATACTTACATAACGCCTTCTATCCCCAAAGAGGTAGGCAGAGGTAAATATAATTATTTATAGGTATGTATGTACAATGTGTCATCGAGTTTTCACCTGGTGTAATTTCAGACCACGTGCTGTTACTGAGAACATTTTTAAAAGCTGAAAAATATCCTTTAATTTTTTACTCCACTAGACTCCGAGAGCCTACAAGACACCTCCATATCTAGATGATATATTCAAAATCTACTCGTTTGTGAATATACCAATTGAATAGCTCACTATCGTATAGTGTCAACAACATGTATCCAACGTCGATCGTTCCGTTTGTATTCCTACCTTTGATGTGGTCGTCTAATTGTTTTATTGGGCGTTCGAGTGCTCTGAGCACATAAGTGATCTTGACTGTTGTCAGTAACCACCACTTATGATTTCTGGAGAGAATCTGCCGACAGCATTTTATCTTAATCCTCGGAATTGTTTCATTCAAGATACTTTTGCCGTATTTTGGTGACGGCCAAAACATTTTTGGTTACTTCTCTTTCTGTGGTTTTCATAACACATTTATCCGAGGTTGCAAGTTGAATTCTCTCTGATAATCCTGAATTTTAAAACTGCGCCATCCAACTGCGACGCTCGTCAAGCTTGATGACAAACCTTCATAAGTAGTTAGATGACACCCATAGTCTTGCAGCGCAGTATCACGGACTTCACGTCTAGGAACAATAAATATCTATCTACTTAGGTACGCTACCAAAATAAATGTTATTATGATATGTTATTTGAATGACGGATCCATTTTTATTGACACGTCGGAAAGTTCCTGAATAAAAATTACACATAACTTTTTCGAGTAGGTAGGTACTGGTAGGTAGGTGAGCGAAGCGTAACAATTTGTTGAGTATTTGGCAGTTCAGATAAGGGCCTTTTGATTAAGCTGACCTAAGATTCCTACCGTAAATATAATTAAGAAGAAAGAAACAAGAATACAGAGTGTTTGGGAAAGG